CCCCTTCAGAAAGACAAATTCCCTTTGTTCCCTGTAACATGGACTAATAAAGTTGTACTGTGCTGTGCTGCACTTTATTAAACAGAACCTGAGAGTCCAGCATGTCAGGGGATGGGGTGGGGGGTGGGGGGTGAGAGCAGCAGTGGGGGATGGGTAGCTAGTCCTTGATTGGCTGTAGACCTGGGAGCCACAACTGCCAAGAGAAATGCAATCTACCCTTTTTATCAGCCAAGCCAACATACTGTTTTACACACCATTTTTGTGGACTGTTAATGTTTATATTTAAAATCAACACTGAGCTTTTCATGTTATAATCTGTTATTTATCAAATCTGATAGTAAGATATTGAAACCATATACAATATGCACCATATACAATAATGGTTGTAATGAAAACCTGAGACACTCCTATAGACCTATGGAATTATGAGGGGGGGAAATGATGTATTTCTGAAAGATATCAAGTAATTTTAAGTCAATTATTGCGTGGGAAACTGCAGTCTGGTTTGTTTTGTCTGAGTGAACAGAGCAGTTGGGGGAAGGGAATACACATACAATGTTTCAATCTCCAACTGTCTTGTTTCACAGACTCCTGTGAGAGAGAATATAGCAGACGGTTGCTGTCAAAAAGTGATTGGTGAGTTTTCCTGTGTCCTGTGTTTATGACCTTTTAAGGACATCCTGTCCGGATGTTCTCTTCACTATTTAGGGTGTGCTTATGTAACTTGATAGTGCAGCTGTTTCTTTGAAGTAAAGCACATTGATGAGGAATATATGATCAATTATGCTGTGAGAGAAACAGCACATATTTACCTGACTTGTTAAATATTAATAGTTAACAATGAATATGATTAACAATAGTAGAGACATTTCTTAACTACCAATGCTGTGCTTTTGGTAAGGATGGTTCCCTCGAGCTCCCTGCAGCTGGTCTGGGCGTGTAGTCAAGGACATGGGATAGAGATCAACTGGAGGAACAGGTAGACCTGGATTGTTTCAATTTCTCGTTGCTTCCACACAGCCACAAGAAGAAAACATGGTGGCTCCTGATCTGCCAGGGAGGGGCGTGCTTGGATGAAAAGCAGAGATTGTTTTGGACAATTTGCAGAACTTATGAAGAGCGATACAAATCCTGTTGACTCTGTATTAACTTCTGCCTGCAATTGCATAACTACAGATATTTTACATATACTCAGAAGCCGTTGTCTGTGTCATTTTCTAAAGTTGAAAGTTTGTTTAAGAATAAGAGAATATCAGCACTGTGCAAAGAACCCTCTACAACATGTTTGAAATAAAAAGTAATGTCCTGGTGATTGATGTGTCGTGTACTGACCTAGTTGAACTTAAAGTTTGAACTGTTTGAAAAATGTGAAACAGTTGGGAATTGTTTGTAGTGAACTTATGGAGCTGCTGTGTAGTGAGCTTGTGACCCCTTGTAGAATGAAAAAGTAATTTCCGGGTAGGTCTGCCTGAGTATAAGTAAGTGTTAGACTTGTCCTGTGAACACTACGAGCGACAAGGAACCTCAAGAGAGATGAACCACAGAAAAAACGTCTCCTAGACCAATTCTAGGTGTGTTGCGTCCTTCATGTCTGGGCCACAAGGACAAAACCATCGATGCCATTCTTTGTGATGCACCTGATTGTTTTAACGGTGGGATTGATATGAGTGGAGGCCAACCGGACGATTCAACAGTGAAGATTTTCACACACAGCTGTCTCAACAACCTTTTTCAGCCAAAAACCGGGAGTTTTTCTCCAGCGTTTCTCATGAGGGAATGTCTTAAGATAAGACTTGCTCTATGCCAGATCTAAAAGGCCCTGAATGGAACATCCCTGCCTGGGTACGCACTGGAAGAGGAAGTCTGTGGGCCAGATGATTTGAAAGTCATACGAATCTCTTCAGTAGCATAGAGTCCAGACTCCAAAGTGACAATTTTAGGTTGTTCTGAATTCGACAGCGCAAATGCCACCCAATCTGTTAGTTCGTATGTATTTTCAAACGCTTGAACATAGGTCAACTATTTTGTGCCTGTCTTTAGCTTCAAGTGGCGAGATTGGTTTAAGGTGCTTGATATGATGAAACAAGTGCAACAGTTTTTCCACCATCGTGAACATTTACGAAGATGGTCCCTTCTGTCCTCAAGACAAAACTTGGGCTTATCTGCAAGAAGGTTGATCTATCATGGAAAAGAAAACATGTGAAACCTTGAAGGCCATGGAGAGCCTGGAAGAGGCAACGTCTGAGTCCCTCACAGCTTGAAGACGGGGATTTGGAGACTGATGGGGGTGTCGGGTTACAAAAGGCCCCTGAAAAGGAGAACAATGCTGATTCTGCTTTCTTTCTAAGAAAAACTTTATTATAATGATTATACATTTAAACATGTATTGTTTAGTAAGGTGCAGTATTGTGTAATAATACAGTTTATGATCCATATAAAGGTTTAGTAGTAAACATTAGTGTCATAGTTTAATATTCAATATTGTTTAGTGAACTTTAATAACTTGTATATAAATGCTTCCATTTCTGTAGCAACATTTTAGAAGAAAATAAAAGGTTTGAAAGAAAATTGTATTTACCTTCAATGAATTACAGCTCTCTCTCTCTTTCTCCGTCCCTCCCCTATCTATCTATCTATATATCTCTCTCACTCTCTCTCTCCCCCTCTCTCTCTCTCACAAGAGCCATTGGTTCCTTGGGTTGTGTGTGTGTGTGTGTGTGAGCGTGTGTGGTGTGTCTTTGAAACAACTGTGTTTTAAACCGGTTTTACCTTTACCCTTTTAGAAAGAGTTCTCAGCTATCCATATTTTAATGGCCAACAGTTTGCTCATCTAGGGAGTCCCTTACACACAAGGGAACTGTATGTACACATGGGGTCCCCCAAGTGTCTTTGAAACTACTTTTTTTAAACCTGTTTAACCTTTTAAAAATAGCTCTCGGGGGGGCCCCGGGGGGGTCCGGGAATGTCCGCGAAGCGTCCGAGGATGGAATGTCCAGTGGATGTCTCGGTCAATTAAAAACAAGAAAAGGTAATTGTATTCTTAAAGATGTCCCGTTTTACTGCTGACATAAACAGATCCATTTAACCCCATTAAAGAGCGTCCGTGGGCTGTCTCAGTCAACCAAGAAAAAAGACCCAGAGGACCAGAAGGCCTGAAGACATACATCTTCAAGAGACTCCTTGAGTCATTTATTCCTCATGGAGCATTTTGAAGGTGAGTTGAATTTTCAATATGATGAAGGCTTTTATATATAACTATGCATATATATATATATATATATATATATATATATATATATATATATATATATATATATATATATATATATATATATATATATATATATATTATTTATGTTGTATATTATAAATGAATGTTTTTAATAATGTATTGTATAAAATGATATAGTATATAATGAATGAGATGTTGTGTTATTGATTTTTTTAAACGAGAATGGACTCTACCTACATATGTATATATCCTACTGTTTATACCAAACAAATGTCAATTTTATGTGACATGTCTCAAGGTGTCTCAGAACCCATGAAAATGCATGCCAAACCAAGTCTCTACTCAGCAGTGGACCACTGGCTCTACCTAGTGGATGTTCAATTACATCACAGTTATAGAAAAAAATAATAACCTAGCGACTTGCTTATGTGTGTGTGTGTGTGTGTGTGTGTGTGTGTGTGTGTGTGTGTGTGTGTGTGTGTGTGTGTGTGTGTGTGTGTGTGTGTGTGTGTGTGTGTGTGTGTGTGTGTGTGTGTGTGTGTGTGGACTGTATCTAGAATGTTAGTATACTATTCTATATCACTCAATGTATAACAAGGTTTTTTTCAAATATTTAACAGTGTTTTAATATTTGTTTTTTTGCAGACATTTTAAGACTGAATGACATACAATTTTCAGGTAATTAATATTATTACTATATTGTATTTTATGTAAAATATCTGTATTTTTAAGTAAAACATGTATATTGTAATATAATGTAAATTCTACAGGTTACCCTACATTTATGCAGGAGGTACCCAAAGTCATTGATGTGGATCAAGAAGCAACACCACAAACAGAAGTGATTGTTATAGAGGATAACGAGTTTGAGGAACAACAGACAGAAGCTGTATCTTTACTCAGTCACTCGCCATCAAGATATTTTAGACGTGAGTCAACATTTAAATGGGTAATAATCTCTATATAATAAGCAATAAACAAAATGTGTACTATGTTTTAATAACCTAATCTTGTGTTTACAGCTGACACTCCATGTAGAAGCGTGTACAGCGTTCAACCCAGGCATTATGGACTCCTCCGTTGAATGACTGCTTGAATGATTGTGAAAACGACGTTCTCCTCTCTTTCTGTACAGCAGGCTTTGACATAGACGAAACTCAAACCAACCCAAGAACAGAGGGATTGTCATACCTAGACACGCCTCCAAACCCCCCCGAGGCGTTCAGTATATAATAGGGCACCGACACTATTTCAAAGTCCAGCACGGCTCCACAGACACATAGTTCAAGTTGACAGGATGGCTTCACCTTTGACCGAGGAGAACGATTGGTCTGAAAAGGACTGGATTGAAGAACATGCTCTTTATGGATATGGTCTGTTTTATTATAGATATAACTTTTAATGACTATGTTAAAAACAATATTATGATTATTATTTTTGTAAAAAGACAGACTCAGACAATGGACAGTGGGGAGAAAACACGCCTTCCATGACTCCACAGAAAAACAGGTTTAGTCAACAAACAGACAGCTATTTCCCTGGAACCCAAGTCCGAACAGTGAGAAACAGAAACAGTGAGTTAGGATATATTGATATGTTAACACATAATAAATTAACTGTTTAAAAAAGCATTATATATTTTTTGTTATTATTTAAAAAATTAAATATTTGTTTTTATGTATTCTTATCATTTATTTATTATTATTATTATTTTAATAGACTATTTATTATATATTTTTATTCTATTGTGTTTTGGGGCTCCTCCAAGGCCTATACAGGCACAGCAGACCCAATACAACAAGAGGAAAAGGAGGAAGAGGATGAAGAGGAGGAAGAGGAGGATGATGATGATGGTATACTGATTACTGCATCTAAACAGGTCCAATACATTCAATGATGCTAGTGTCCCTGATGTTTGATGATGAAGATGATGTGTTTGAGGTATGATGAGGATGGTGTTTGATGATTATTGTTTGATGTATGATGAGGATGATGTGTTGAGCTATGATAGGATGATGTGTTGAGTATGATGAAGATGATGTGTTGATTGAGAGATGTGTTGATGTGAAGATGATGTTGTTGAGGTATGATGAGGATGATGTGTTGAGCTATGATGAGAGATGTGTTGACGGTATGAATGAGGATGATTTGTTGGGTTGCTGCGGTGATGTGTTGCGGTATGATGAGTGATGTGTTGAGGTGCTGCTGAGGGTGTGTTGCGTAGTTGCGGATGATGTGTTGAGGTTGTGAATGAATTGTGTTGTATGTTGAAGGAGATGTGTTTGAGGTAATGATTGAGGATATAAGTATGTTTTGGAGCTATGATGAGGACTGATGTGTTGAGGTATATGATGGGATGATGTGTTGAGCTATAATGAGGAATGATGTTTGGAGGTCTGATGAGGAGTGATGGTTGAAAGCTACTTATGAGGATGGATGATGTTGAGCTATGATGAGGATGATGTGGTTGAGGTATGAGGAGGAATGATGTTGTTGAGGTAGATGAGGATGATGTGTTGAGGTATGATGAGGATGATGGTGAGGTATGATGCGGTATGATGAGGATGATGTTTGAGGATGATGAGGATGATGTGTTGACGTATGAATGCGGGACTAATCAGCTTGATACAATACATTCTGAAGTAGAGCCAATACTGATTGAGGACAGCGTCAGTGGGGACGAGGATCAGGATATAGATCTTCAAGATAGGTTTTCTCACAGCCTTTTACCAGGGCTCTGAAAGCCAGAAAGGTCCAGTTACAAACGTATGGTTGCTTTGCTAAAACGTCGGTACATCCAAGACATAGCCTTCTGGAAGAAAAACATGCCAAGTTTGATAAGCAGCAATCTGATGACAATAACAGAAACAAATACAATTCTAGATCCTGTGATTCCTATCTTCTTTCCAATCCCTTGATCAAATCAAATCAAATTGTATGTGTCACATGCGCCGAATACAGCAGGTGTAGACCTTACAGTGAAATGCTGACTTACAAGCCCTTAACCAACAATGCAGCTTTAAGAAAAAAAAAGTGTTAAGAAAGTATTTATTAAAATAAACAGAAGTAAAAAATAAAAATATCTTCCATGGTTGTAAATCTTGCTTTCTGCCCCAGGACATGTGTGTCTTAACCCAGAAGACTTTGGGGGAAATGTACAAGGAGTTCCAAGACAAGTGGTCCTCTTTCCAGGCTGCTGATGGGGTGAAAGGGAAGGTGATGTGGGAGTAGGAGGGGACAGAACTCACAAGGTCTGATCCTCATGTTCCAGCTTTCCTTTCCACCTTTGACCCCAACCCCTGGAGCCCTGCCAGGCCTTGTTTGGGGGTCGTACCAATGCTTTGACCTTACGTTATATAGCTGATGAGGAAATTGGATATATAGATTATACTTCCCTTTATCATCATGTAATGAGTTCCTCTTGTTATCCTTTGGGACATCCTGAAATTATTCACTGTGACTTTGACTTACCACAAAACTATTTTGCTTTGATAAAATCAACTGTTTACCCTCCCGGGGGCTTGTTTTTGTCAGTGTTGCTTTACAAAGGACCTAAAGGAAAACGTTTCTTTCCCCTTTGTCACACCTGCAGTGAAAACAACAACCAGGAAAAGCCTTGTGATCATTCAGATCAAGAAAGAGCCCTGACCGGTGTATGGGTCACCGTTTAATTCTCTTAGGCTATAGACAAGGGGTATCGTGTGGCCAAAGTCTTTGAAGTGTGGAACTTTCCCAGGAAATCAGACACTCTTTTTAAAGAGTACATCAAGACCTTCTTGAGCGGCAAGCAAATGGCTTCAGGGTTTCCTGCATCAGTCACTGATCAAGAGAGCAAAGACAGATACATTCAGCACTATCATGAAAAAGTGGTTATACATCTTGACCCTGACAGAATAGAGGTCTGTCACGGTTTCGGCCGAGGCTGCTCCTCCTCCTTGTTCGGGCAGGCTTCGGCGGTCGTCGTCCCCAGAGTACTAGCTACCACCGTTCGATGTTTCATGTTTGTTTGGTTTTGTCTGTTTGTACACCTGTCCCTTGTTAGTGCTTGATTTTGTTTCCTATTTAGTTATCGTGTGTTGGGTCAGGTGTTATGTGTGATTGTTTTTTGTCAAGCTGTTGCTCTCATATTTACTCTCGTGTTTTGTTGTTTTCGAGAGTCCGCACTGTGTGCGCTATTGTCATTTTTACGCACTGTGTTTATTTGTGCGTAATTTGTATTTTGCCTCCCGGTTGGGTCGGCTGTTCGCCTGTTTGGTGCTGCTTTCGTTGACTAAAGTCTGTTCACGAACGCCTGTGTTTCCTGCGCTTGATTTCCACACCGCATCTACACTCAGCTACTGACAGAATCACACATCATCCATGGAATCAGCAGGAGCAACCGCGCCAACGGACATCATGGAGGACCGTCTGCGTGGGCAGGAGGACAGGATCAACCAGATCGGTCACGCCCTGGAACGGGTGATGAACACTCTCCACCGATGGGAAAGCAGCGGGGTACCCACGCCCCCACCTACCGGACCATCCCCATCGGTCAGTCCTCCTGTCCCCCTTCCGGAACCCAGCGGGATTCGGCTCTCGCTCCAGAGGGCGAACGACGGCTCCGCTCCCGGGTGTCAAGGGTTCCTGCTGCAAGTGGAGCTCTACCTCGCCACCGTACACCCGGCGCCCTCGGGACACGAGAGCGTCTCCGCCCTCATCTCCTGTCTCACCGGCAAGGCGTTGGAGTGGGCCAACGCCGAATGGAGGAGAATAGACGCCGCTACTATTACCTATGCAGAGTTCTCCCGCCGCTTCCGTGCCGTGTTTGACCATCCACCAGAAGGGAAGGCGGCGGGGGAGCGTCTGTTCTACCTCCGACAGGGGATGAGGAGCGCACAGGATTTTGCTTTGGAGTTCCGGACTCTAGCGGCAGATGCAGGGTGGAATGAGCGGGCCCTCATAGACCACTTCCGCTGCAGCCTCCGGGAGGACGTCCAGAGAGAGTTGGCGTGCAGGGATACCACGTTGTCGTTTGACCAACTGGTCGACATGGCCATTCGGCTGGACACCCTGCTCGCCACCCGTGGACGTCCCGGGTGGGGGTTGCCCATTCCACCTTCCGGCACCTCCGAGCCGAGCCCTATGGAGCTCGGAGGTGCTGGCGCTAGAGAACGGAGGAGTAGGAACCCGAGGGGGGCCGTTCCCTGCACCAACTGTGGCCGTGGAGGGCACACCGCGGCTAGGTGCTGGGGAGGGTCTCCTGGTGGAGGAGAAGGCAGGCAACACATTGGGGAGTCCTCCCAGGTGAGTAGGCGCCCCACTTACCCAGAGCTTTCTGTCGTACACATAACCATACCTGTTTGTTTTCCACAGGTTGCACCTCGTTCCCAGCATAAGGCGCTAGTAGATTCAGGCGCAGCTGGGAATTTTGTAGATCGCAAATTCTGTGTAGAGTTAGGGATTCCCCTCCTTCCGGTAAATAATCCTTTCCCTGTACATGCCCTAGATAGTCGTCCGTTAGGATCAGGGTTGATTAGGGAGGTCACAGTGCCACTTAGGATGGAGACGCAGGGGGGTCATGAGGAGACGATTCAGCTCTATCTGATCGACTCTCCTGCGTATCCGGTGGTGCTGGGGCTTCCCTGGTTGATTACCCATGATCCTACTATTTCGTGGCGAGAGAGGGCTCTTAAGGGGTGGTCTGCTCAGTGTGAGGGGCTATGTCTGGGTGTTTCCGTAGGGGCGACCTCGGTGGAGAGTCCGAACCAAATGCCCGCATTGCACATTCCCCCCGAGTATGAGGATTTGGCACTCGTGTTTAGCAAGACGAGAGCGGCGCGGTTGCCACCTCATAGACAGGGGGATTGTGTGATAGACCTCCAGGCAGGAGCTGCGCTCCCGCGGAGCCATGTGTATCCTTTGTCACAGGAGGAGAAGAGGGCAATGGAGACATACATTGCCGAGTCTCTGAGACAGGGATACATACGGCCCTCCACTTCACCCGCGTCCTCGAGCTTCTTTTTTGTGAAGAAAAAGGATGGAGGTTTGCTCCCGTGTATTGATTACCGCGGTCTCAATCAGATTACTGTGAAATATAGTTATCCACTCCCGCTGATTGCGACTATGACGGAGTCATCACATGGGGCACGGTTCTTCACAAAATTGGACCTCAGGAGCGCATATAACTTGGTGCGCATTAGAGAGGGCGATGAATGGAAGACAGCATTTAGTACTACCTCCGGTCATTACGAGTATCTCGTCATGCCATATGGGTTAATGAATGCTCCATCAGTCTTCCAATCCTTTGTAGATGAGATTTTCCGGGACATGCAGGGGCAGGGAGTAGTCGTGTACATAGACGATATTCTGGTGTACAGTTCTACCCGGGCCGAACATGTAGCCCTGGTGCGCCGAGTATTGAGGAGGCTGTTGGAGCATGACCTGTATGTCAAAGCCGAGAAATGTCTGTTCTTCCAGGAGTCGGTCTCCTTTTTGGGTTATCAGTTGTCTGCGTCAGGGGTGAGGATGGAGGTTGACCGTGTGTCAGCCGTGCGTAATTGGCAAACCCCAACCACGGTTAAAGAGGTGCAGCAGTTCTTGGGTTTTGCGAATTACTACCGGAGGTTTATCCGGGGTTTTGGACAGGTGGCAGCTCCCATAACGTCCCTTCTGAAAGGGGGTCCGGTGCGCTTGCGGTGGTCAGCTGAGGCGGACAGGGCTTTTGGGAGACTGAAGGACCTGTTTACCTCGGCTCCAGTGCTGGCGCACCCGGACCCCGCTTTAGCATTCCAAGTGGAAGTGGACGCGTCTGAAGCCGGTATCGGGGCTGTTCTCTCACAACGGTCCGGCACACCACCTAAACTCCGCCCCTGTGCTTTTTATTCGAAAAAGCTCAGTCCGGCGGAGCGTAATTATGACTTAGGGGACAGGGAGCTGTTAGCCGTGGTACAAGCCCAAAAGGTGTGGAGGCATTGGCTTGAGGGGGCTCAACACCCTTTTCTCATTCTGACTGACCACCGTAACCTGGAATACATTCGGGCAGCTAGGAGACTGAATCCTCGCCAGGCTCGGTGGACTATGTTTCTAGCCCGGTTCGTGTTTAAGATCACTTACATCCCTGGGTCCCAGAACAGGAAGGCAGATGCCCTGTCTCGGCGGTATGACACGGAGGAGAGGTCCGTTGAGCCCACTCCCATACTACCTAAGTCTTGTCTGGTTGCATCGGTGGTATGGGAGGTCGATACGAGATCGAGCGGGCATTACGCACCGACCCTAGCCCTCCACAGTGTCCGGTGGGTCGGACGTACGTCCCGCTCGAGTTCCGGGGTCGGCTCATTTATTGGGCTCACACGTCACCCTCCTCTGGGCATCCAGGTATTGGCCGGACAGTGCACTGCCTTAGCACAAAGTACTGGTGGCCAACGTTAGCCAGGGATGTGAGGATTTATGTCTCCTCCTGCTCGGTGTGTGCCCAGTGTAAGGCGCCCAGACACTTGCCCAGGGGTAAGTTACAACCCCTGCCCGTTCCACAACGACCCTGGTCTCACCTCTCGGTGGATTTTGTTACAGACCTTCCCTCCTCACAGGGGAATACCACCATCCTGGTCGTTGTGGATTGGTTCTCGAAGACCTGTCGTCTCCTTCCCATGCCGGGTCTTCCTACTGCCCTACAGACCGCTGAGGCTCTATTTACCCACGTCTTCCGTCATTACGGGGTACCCGAGGATATAGTGTCTGATCGAGGCCCCCAGTTTACCTCCAGAGTCTGGAGAGCGTTTATGGAACGGTTGGGGGTTTCGGTGAGCCTTACCTCGGGTTACCACCCGGAGAGTAATGGGCAGGTCGAACGTGTCAACCAGGATGTGGGTAGGTTTCTGAGGTCATATTGCCAGGGCCGGCCGGAGGAGTGGGCGAGATATGTTCCCTGGGCCGAGATGGCACAGAACTCTCTCCGCCACTCCTCCACTAAACTAACCCCTTTCCAGTGTGTGTTAGGGTACCAGCCAGTTCTGGCACCTTGGCATGAGAGCCAGATCGAGGCCCCTGCGGTGGATGAGTGGGTGCGGCGCTCGGCGGAGACGTGGAACGCTGCACACATCCATCTGCAGCGAGCCATCCGTCGACAGAAGACGAGCGCTGATCTCCACCGCAGTGAGGGGCCAGTGTACGCACCTGGAGATCGAGTCTGGCTCTCAACCAGATACCTGCCCCTCCGCCTTCCCTGCCGGAAGCTGGGTCGGCGGTTTGTGGGGCCTTTTAAAGTCCTGAGGAGATTGAACGAGGTGTGTTACAGGTTACAACTGCCCATTGATTACAAGAATATTAACCCCTCATTCCATGTGTCTCTCCTCAGGCCGGTGGTAGCTGGTCCACTCCAGGACTATGAGATAGAAGAGACTCCTCCGCCCCCGTTGGACATCGAGGGGGCTCCGGCGTACACTGTTCGGTCCATCCTAGATTCGAGAAGCCGGATGGGGGGTCTCCAATATCTCGTGGAGTGGGAGGGGTACGGCCCGGAGGAGCGGTGCTGGGTGCCGAGGAGGGACATCCTAGACCCGTCTCTTCTGACCGAGTTCCATCGTGGTCATCCTACGCGCCCTGCTCCGCGTCCTCCTGGTCGTCCCCGAGGCCGGGGTCGGCGCACGGCTGGAGCCGCGCATCAAGGGGGGGTACTGTCACGGTTTCGGCCGAGGCTGCTCCTTCTCCTTGTTCAGGCAGGCTTCGGCGGTCGTCGTCTCCGGAGTACTAGCTGCCACCGTTCTATGTTTCTATGTTTGATTAGTTTTGTCTGATTGTTACACCTGTTCATTGTTAAGTGTTCATTATGCGTCCTATTTAGTTCTCTTGTGTTTGGTCAGGTGTTGTGTGTAATTGTTCGATGTCACGTGTAGTAGTTGGTCCGCTGTTCTGTGCTCTCTGTATTTCGTTTTGTTTGAGAGAGTCCTGCACGTTGTGCGCATTTACTTTGGTTCACACCAGTGTGCGTATGTTTCGCCTGTGGCCTGTTGCCGTGTTTGGCTTGTATTTTCGGACTTCACTAAAGACATCTGTTTCGAATCTCTGTGTGTCCTGCGTGTGATTCCACGTTACCTCTACACTCAACCCTGACAATTATGGTGGAAAATAAGTATTTGGTCACCTACAAACAAGCAAGATTTCTGGCTCTCACAGACCTGTAACTTCTTCTTTAAGAGGCTCCTCTGTCCTCCACTCGTTACCTGTATTAATGGCACCTGTTTGAACTTGTTATCAGTATAAAAGACACCTGTCCACAACCTCAAACAGTCACACTCCAAACTCCACTATGGCCAAGACCAAAGAGCTGTCAAATGACACCAGAAACAAAATTGTAGACCTGCACCAGGCTGGGAAAACTGAATCTGCAATAGGTAAGCAGCTTGGTTTGAAGAAATCAACTGTGGGAGCAATTATTAGGAAATGGAAGACATACAAGACCACTGATAATCTCCCTCGATCTGGGGCTCCACGCAAGATCTCACCCCGTGGGGTCAAAATTATCACAAGAACGGTGAGCAAAAATCCCAGAACCACACGGGGGGGCCCTAGTGAATGACCTGCAGAGAGCTGGGACCAAAGTAACAAAGCCTACCATCAGTAACACACTACGCCGTCAGGGACTCAAATCCTGCAGTGCCAGACGTGTCCCCCTGCTTAAGCCAGTACATGTCCAGGCCCGTCTGAAGTTTGCTAGAGTGCATTTGGATAATCCAGAAGAGGATTGGGAGAATGTCATATGGTCAGATGAAACCAAAATATAACTTTTTGGTAAAAACTCAACTCGTCGTGTTTGGAGGACAAAGAATGCTGAGTTGCATCCAAAGAACACCATACCTACTGTGAAGCATGGGGGTGGAAACATTATGATTTGGGGCTGTTTTTCTGCAAAGGGACCAGGACGACTGATCTGTGTAAAGGAAAGAATGAATGGGGCCATGTATCGTGAGATTTTGAGTGAAAACCTCCTTCCATCAGCAAGGGCATTGAAGATGAAACGTGGCTGGGTCTTTCAGCATGACAATGATCCCAAACACACCGCCCGGGCAACGAAGGAGTGGCTTCGTAAGAAGCATTTCAAGGTCCTGGAGTGGCCTAGCCAGTCTCCAGATCTCAACCCCATAGAAAATCTTTGGAGGGTGTTGAAAGTCCGTGTTGCCCAGCGACAGCCCCAAAACATCACTGCTCTAGAGGAGATCTGCATGGAGGAATGGGCCAAAATACCAGCAACAGTGTGTGAAAACCTTGTGAAGACTTACAGAATACGTTTGACCTGTGTCATTGCCAACAAAGGGTATATAACAAAGTATTGAGAAACTTTTGTTATTGACCAAATACTTATTTTCCACCATAATTTGCAAATAAATTCATTAAAAATCCTACAATATGATTTTCTGGATTTTTTTTGTCTAATTTTGTCTGTCATAGTGGCGTGTACCTATGATGAAAATTACAGGCCTCTCTCATCTTTTTAAGTGGGAGAACTTGCACAATTGGTGGCTGACTAAATACTTTTTTTTCCCCACATTGAATAAAGGAAAGGACATTTATTCAACTGTGAAGATGAACTTTGGAAAAAAAATTGCTAAATGAGTGAACTTAGGAGGAAACGTCAGTGAGTGAAGTGATCGAAGATCACGTGACTGAGGAAAATATTGCTGTGGTTGAGGACAATATTGAAGTGAGTGACAATCAGGAGCTTGTTGAGAAATGAAAAATTATTGGAATTGTTGGAAACATTGGACAGTTTGATAAAAGTATTGAACAGTGGAGCTCATATACAGAACGGTTTGAATATTTTGTTCTTGTAAATGACATGGATGAGGACAACATTGTGCCTACATGTTTTAGTGTAATGGGGCCAAAGACATTTAATTTACTAGGCAGCCTGCTACAGCCAGACAGAACAGGTAATAAGACGTATGGGGATATTGTGGAGATACTTAAAGGACATTTTTCACCAGAACCACTAGTTAATGCTGAAAGGTTCAGGTTCCACAGGAGACATCAGGAAGAGGGAGAATCAGTAACACTGTTTGCTGCTGCATTAAATAAACTATCAGAACACTGTGAGTTTAATGCTGTTCTAAATGACATCATTAGAGACAGACTAGTATGTGGGCTACGGAGTGAAGCTACACAAAAGAGACTGTTGACTGAAAGTCATCTGACCTTGGCAAAGGATATTGAAATCAGTGTGTCCATGGAACTAGCTGCTAAAGAGGCTCACCAGTTGAGTTCATCAGGAACTTAGTGGGTTCATCTAACAATCCTAATCATCAGCTGATACATTTTAATCGCATACACAGGGTATACCTTCCACCTAGAAAACATCATTTAATAAAAATCACAACCGCTCCTCTGTGTGATCTATGTAATCAAGGTGCCTTGGACTCCTTTAATCATATGTACTGGGAGTGACCAGGGGACATGTTTTGGAAAGAGGTATCCTCATACCTTGTTCCCCCTAACTGTTATTACTGAATGATAATTCACCACTGTCATTACAGCAAAGACGTATAATGTTGTCAGGTTGGACAGCAGCTAAAAAGATGTTGGAACTAAGATGGCAACCACCACACCTCATTGGATCAGCACTTTTACAGATATAATTTATTTAGAACTATCCACTGCTAGGATCCATGGGGCTAGCCAAACAACAATTGCAGCTGAAACCATAAAATAACTCCTGTAGTGGGTTTTACCCAACAGATTGACCGTTAATTATAATTTTCGTGCAAATGTGTACCTTGATTTAGTATTTAATTTAATGGAGATCAGGTTGGGTGTGTTGGGGTGGTCCCAGGAGGAGTTGGAGGGTGGGTTGGGGTGGTCCCAGGAGGGGTTGGAGGGTGTGTTTGGGTGGTCCCAGGAGGGGTTGGAGGGTGGGTTGGGGTGGTCCCAGGAGGGGTTGGAGGGTGGGTTGATGCAGTTGAGGTGGGTGATTGTATATGTGGTTTATTATAATTGTATGTATCTGCAATAACTAATTTCCATAATATACTGAGATATATTTTAACAGTATTGTGTCTCTAGCTGTATAACCATTCCTGCTGCTATTTGTTCTGATATATATTTTAACAGTATTGTGTCTCTAGCTGTATAACCATTCCTGCTGCTATTTGTTCTTGTCTGTGTTCCTTTGAAAATAAATAAAAAGTTAATCATAAAAAAAGGAAAAGTGCACAGAGTTTCAACTGAAAATCAGAGACAGGGAAATCAAGTCACATGCTTCCACTGTGGCAAGGTGGGACATCAGGTATCAACATGTTGGTGGAAGGACATGGATTGTCCAGCCTGTGGTAAAAAGGGCCACATCGGACAAGTCTCCAGAAACAAAAAGAGAACAGAGAAATCACAAAAACGGGAAACAAGAAACAGACATTCCAACGAAAGACACATAGACATGTTCACACTGTTGAGTAAGAGAACACTGAGGTGAGTGACTCATCAGACCAGGAAGTCACACTGAAAATCCTGACTTTTTCCTGGCGGGCCGCACGGCTACTATGTATCCCCCTTGCTAGAGGGACAGCCGGTGGGTATGGAGATTGACACAGGGACAGCTGTATCTCTTGTGTCAGAATAAATACACTGAAACACCTTCCACTTCAACCAGAGCACCTCGGCCTTGAGTACCAACTTCCAAGGCACCAAAAGTGTGCATGCCATCTCCTCAATCTTATATCCACAGTTGATGCCACTGCTGCAGGAGGAGCTGCAAACGAAACCTACAAGAGGCTGTCTCGGTCTGCTTTTGCAAAATGTCATGCTCTTTGGAATAAAACCAGCAGGTCAACCATGGCTCATGAAACAGTGGAACGTGAATGCAAGCTGCAGTTTCTCCGACCCAATCAGACACGCTGGAGCTCCCTGTTCCTCGCTGTAGAAAGGATTGTGCGCATTCACCGAGAGCAAGGAGAACAAGCAATTCGCAATGTCTGCACAACATTAAAGATAAAGATGTAAGTTGACAAAATGTATATTTTGTTTTTAAAGAATAATACAAATAAATAAGCCTTGCTGATTAATGGGTGAATCCACTTGTCTCAAGTAACTAAGTTTTCTTTGCATGGTGGTGTGACATTTGTGGTTGACTTGAATGAAATAATTTAACTAATTTATTTATTTATTTGTGTATTTAACATGTACAATGCATAATAAAGACATTGTACCAGAAATAGCTATAAGTCATTGTTTTATCGTTACATCTTTTATAGGTTCAATCCAGCTGAAAATGGGTTTTTGGTCGAGTATGCTGCTGTGATGAAGCCTGTTGCCATGGCCCTTAATATCCTCCAAGGGGAATCATCTGTGCATATGGGCCTCCTGCTGCCAACACTTTACCAGTTGCGGGACAAGCTGAAGAAGTTGGAGTCAACTTGCAAAATGTGTACACCTCTTGTTCACGCCCTGCAGCAAGGGATCCAGAAACGTTTTGGAGACGTCATGAAAGAGCCTGAGCTGATTGCAGCAGCAATACTCCTACCAAGATTCAGAACATCCTGGACCACAGAGGAGAACATCTTAAATGCTGGTAAATATACTTGTTTATCAATTCAAATGTGAACCAGTAGACATTGACCTATATAACTCTGTATAATGTTACTGTCATTTAGGATTATAGTGTGTCAGTGACAAACCACAGGGTGGCAATATAGTTAGTGTGACTTTTTTTTGCTGACTTTTCTTGTTAGATATTGGAACTGGAAGTAAACATAATGCCCGATCTACAACTACATCACTCTCCTCTAATGCCTTTTAGAGAACATGCATTCAGCTTAATTTGTGTTCTGGGATACTAGGCCTGCAATATTGTTTTATTTGGCCATCTATCATGGACTGGTGCTTTTTCAGTTGATGTGTACTGCTGCTCTTTTCCTCTGCTCAGTGAGATGTGCAGTGTGGCCTAATCACAGATCAGAGTATTCATTTCTAGGCACACAGAAAAAGGGCTGTTGCTTGCCATGCAATACAAAGGTACTGAGTAGGCCTAATCAACACCTATTGATTATTTTACGTTGACCGGAAATGTTTGTGTGTTTCCTTCTGTTGTTCTGTCACTGTGGAGACACACACACACACAGTTTATGAGAGTTTATGGGCTGCCTCGTTCTAGTTCTGCCTGGTAAAAAAGTATAAAGGTTTGGAAATTTGTGTTACTTGTGCTTATTTATTTTTTATTTTTTATTATTTAATTTTTTAATACTTGAATTTACCTGAATTATTTTAATTTAAGCTATTTTGTAATTCATTAAAGATGATAATTTTTTATTTTTGTCTGTCTGATTGTTGTCTTGTGTTAAAAAATAAATCAGACGTTACTCAACAGTTACTCAGTACTTGAGTAGTTTTTTCACCAAATACTTTTTTACTCTTACTCAAGTAATTATTTGGATGACTACTTTTTACTTTTACTTGAGTCATATTATTCTGAAGTAACAGTACTTTTACTTGAGTACAATTTTTGGCTACTCTACCCACCTCTGGTTGCACTAATTGAACTGTTTGTCTACATTACCTGGTTCAATCATTCATGACATCAGTTGATATACAGAGTGTGAGACTGTCAAAGAAGGAAGCTAGAGGTTTTAACGTTAAAAAATTGTGTGTAATCAACAAAGAAAAGAGTCGGAGCAGTTGTGAGGGTGCTATTCTCCTCTCGGAGATGGCAAAGAGCATGGATTTCAGGGCGATTCCCTGGATTGGGATCACCAACGCAGTAAGATTCGCGTGGAAGGAGAAGGAAATGGAGCCCTTAGGAAGGGAAACCTTTGGGAGGACCTTGTTGATGGGGGTGTTAAAACGGTGGTTAAGGACGTGATGTGCCTCCAGGCTAACCCCTTGGAAGGGGCGTATGATGTGGTGTTCCACACGGAGGGCAAACATGACGAGGTCATGAAAAAGGTGAGGGAGGTGGAGAAGGCCGATGTGCCACTACGATGTGACAAGCTTGGCCAAGAACAACTTCAGGGTAATTACAGTTTACATGTATAACCCGCATGTTATGGACGAGGAGGTGAGGGCCTTTCTGGGGAGATATGTGGACAATGTCTCCTCAGCAAGGCTCCTCAAGGACTCATTAGGGTTCTGGGATGGGAGGAGAAGCTTCCAGGCTCTACTGAGGGAAGATCCAAAGGGTCTGGGGGGTTACCTCCATCCTCCAGCTCTGTTTTCCCTGGGGGCTGACAGGGGGACGTTGTATTATGCCCGTCAGCCGCCGTTCTGCAGAAGATGTATGGCGTATGGTTTGTGGGTCGGAGGCGCACGAGGCGAAGGACTGTGGCGAGTCGAAGAAGTGCCATGGGTGTGGCTCGTCAGCACACCTGTGGAGGGAGTGTTCGGCTCGTCAAAAGTCGTATGCAGCTGCAGCTGTTGGGGGGAGCAGGGGCAGGAGCGGGGGATGGGGGAGGAAGAGGAGGAGCGGTTCCAGACCCGAGCGCAGGGCCAGAGTGAACACAATCGACGATGGAGGAGGAGACGAGAACAGCAGCGGGAGGAGAGGGGGACGGGCAGGGGACGGCCACAGCAGGTCCAGAACGAGAGGAGGTGCCAGAGAGGAAGGAGACAGAGGGAGAGGAGGACGGGGAGGAGCCAGCCACGGCCCCAGTAGGAGAGGAGAAGGGGGGAGAGGAGGACGGGGAGGAGCCAGCCCTGGCCCCAGTAGGAGAGGAGAAGGGGGGAGAGGTGAGGCCGGAGTGGAGGGACAGCGAGATGCAGAGGGCCCGGGGGGACAAGATGGGGGAGAGGGTGGAGGATTTGGGGGTCAGGTGGGGCTGGGGGGGCTGGCTCTCTTTTCCCAACCGGTTTCGGTTTGTGGAGTTTGGAAGAGGATGATGGTGAGCCCAGGATGTAGGGAACCCAGTAGCCAAACACCATTCCTGCATCCTGGGTTGGAGAGATGGAGGGGAGTGGGGGGGCATCAGGTGAGCCTCCTGTTTTGGTTTTGTGTTTTGGGGTTTAGTGTTTTGTAATGTGTGAAATTGTATTATGGCAGGGATTATTTTAGTTACTTTAAATGTGAGGGGAATAAGGGAGGATGTTAAGAGAAGGTTTTGGGGGGTTTAGAGGGGGTTGGTTTTGATATTTGTTTTATACAGGAGGTTCACCTAAGGGATAGTGGGGATGTCATCAGGTTTAAGAGAGAGTGGGACAAGGGAGAGTGGGTTTGGGGTATGGGGGGGTGGTGCACTCATCGGGGGTAGGGATTTTGTCTGGGAATAGGGAGGTGAAGGTGGAGGGCAAAATGGTAGGGATGCAGGGGAGGGTTTTAGGGGCGGATGTCACAATAAGGGAGGATAGATAAGGTAATTGTGGTGTACGAGCCACAGTTGGCAGCAGGCAGGAGGGAGATGGTGGACTCCCTGGAGCCGCTGTGTACCACGAATAGACACTTGGTGATATGGGGGGGATTTTAATATAGATATAGGGAGGGGGAGGGACAGTAGTGCAGGTGCCATCGCCTGGCTAATGGCGTGCCATGGTCTGGTAGAAGGGGGGCCTGCACACTGCTCCGACGATGGCAGTCCAACATGACGAGGTCATGAAAAAGGCGAGGGAGGTGGAGAAGGCCAGGCCGATATGCCACTACGATGTGATAAGCTTGGCCAAGAACAACTTCAGGGTAATTACAGTTTACATGTATAACCCGCATGTTAAAGATGAGGAGATGAGGGCCTTTCTGGGGAGATATGTGGACAATGTCTCCTCAGCAAGGCTCCTCAAGGACTCATTAGGGTTCTGGAATGGGAGGAGAAGCTTCCAGGCTCTACTGAGGGAAGATCCAAAGGGTCTGGGGGGTTACCTCCATCCTCCAGCTCTGTTTTCCCTGGGGGCTGACAGGGGGACGTTGTATTATGCCCGTCAGCCGCCGTTCTGCAGAAGATGTATGGCGTATGGTTTGTGGGTGGGAGGCGCACGAGGCGAAGGACTGTGGCGAGTCGAAGAAGTGCCACGGGTGTGGCTCGTCAGCACACCTGTGGAGGGAGTGTTCGGCTCGTCAAAAGTCGTATGCAGCTGCAGCTGGTGGGGGAGCAGGGGCAGGAGCGGGGGATGGGGGAGGAAGAGGAGGAGCGGTTCCAGACCCGAGCGCAGGGCCAGAGGGAACACAATCGACGATGGAGGAGGAGACGAGAACAGCAGCGGGAGGAGAGGGGGACGGGCAGGGGACGGCCACAGCAGGTCCGGAAGGAGAGGAGGTGCCAGAGATGGAGACGGAGGGGAGTGTGGGAGAGGAGGTGCCAGAGAGGAAGGAGAAGGGGGGAGAGGAGGATGGGGAGGACGGGGAGGAGCCAGCCACGGCCCCAGTAGGAGAGGAGAAGTGGGGAGAGGAGGACGGGGAGGAGCCAGCCACGGCCCCAGTAGGAGAGGAGAAGGGGGGAGAGGTGAGGCCGGAGTGGGGGGACAGCGAGATGCCGAGGGCCCGGGGGGACAAGATGGGGGAGAGGGTGGAGGATTTGGGGGTCAGGGGGGGCTGGGGGGGCTGGCTCTCTTTTCCCAACCGGTTTCGGTTTGGGGAGTTTGGAAGAGGATGATGGTGAGCCCAGAATGCAGGGAACCCAGGAGCCAAACACCATTCCTGCATCCTGGGTTGGAGAGATGGAGGGGAGTGGGGGGGCATCAGGTGAGCCTCCTGTTTTGGTTTTGTGTTTTGGGGTTTAGTGTTTTGTAATGTGTGAAATGTATTATGGCAGGGATTATTTTAGTTACTTTAAATGTGAGGGGAATAAGGGAGGATGTTAAGAGAAGGTTTTGGGGGATTTAGAGGGGGTTGGTTTTGATATTTGTTTCATACAGGAGGTTCACCTAAGGGATAGTGGGGATGTCATCAGGTTTAAGAGAGAGTGGGACAAGGGAGAGTGGGTTTGGGGTATGGGGGGGTGCACTCATCGGGGGTATGGATTCTGTCTGGGAATAGGGAGGTGAAGGTGGAGGGCACAATGGTAGGGATGCAGGGGAGGGTTTTAGGGGCGGATGTCACAATAAGGGATGATAGATACAGGGTAATTGTGGTGTACGAGCCACAGTTGGCGGCAGACAGGAGGGAGATGGTGGACTGCCTGGAGCCGCTGTGTACCACGAATAGACACTTGGTGATAGGGGGGGATTTTAATATAGATATAGGTAGGGGGAGGGACAGTAGTGCAGGTGCCATCGCCGGGCTAATGGCGTGCCATGGTCTGGTAGATGGGGGCCTGCACACTGCTCCGACGATGGCAGGTCCAACATGACGCAACTCCAGGTGGGTCGAGCGGAGGCTCTACTATATTTTTCTATCCAACTGGGTCAGTTGTCTGGGCATTTGTTGCCTGTGTTCTTTTCGGATCACGACGGGGTGCTGCTGCAGGTGGGGGCACCGGTCTGCCTCTTCGGTAGGGGGGTACTGGAAGTTAGAACGGGAGGTACTGGATGAGCAGGCTTTCGTTAACGGTTTTGTTGATTTCTTTACGGGGCTTGAGGGCCTCCGGTCCATGTGGGACGGGGTGTTAGAGTGGTGGGAAATAGCAAAGGTGAGGATTAGGGTTTTTATAATAGGATATTGTAAGAGGAAAAGGAGGGAGGAAAGGAGGGAGGAAAGGAGGGAGGGAGGGAGGGAGGGAGGGAGGGGAGGGAGGGAGGGAGGGAGGGAGGGAGGAAAGGAGGGAGGTGGATCACATCCAAAGGCTGCTCCAACTCGAGCTCGAGGCAGGCAACCTCGGCGGGTCGGTAGACTGGGAGAGATCCTCTGCCCTAAAGGCGCAATTTAGGGAGGTGCATGAGCGGAAGGCTCGCGCTTTCCTGGAGCGTGAGCATAGTGGGTTTTTAGAACACGACGAGACTTGTTCCGCCGTGTTCTTTAAATCAGTTAGGGGAAAACAGAGTAGGAAGGTCATGTACAGGGTTAGGGAAGAAAACGGTAGAGTAGTGAGAGAAACGAAGGAAATGGTCAAGGTGACCACGGAACATTTCCGAGGTTTTTTTCAAGAAAGGGCAGTAGATGTAGAGCAGGGAAATGTGTTTTTAGAACACCTGTCCCGGCGGGTGCCAGAGGACATTAGAGAAGCGATGGAGGATCAGATCTCCCTGGAAGAGGTTGAGAGCGCCCTCAGGAGGACGGGACAAGGGCAGGTGCCCGGGATGGATGGGCTGCCGGCAGAGTTTTGGGGGACACTTGGACCGGTAGTCCTTGAAGTCTTTAAGGCCATCCTCGAGACGGGGGTCCCGGGGGGATCGATGGCCGTAGGTGTGCTGTCACTTCTGTACAAAAAGGGGGACGCAACAGACCTTGGCAACTGGCGGCCGTTGACCTGCTGTGCGTAGATTATAAGCTGCTTGCGAAGGTTCTAGCGGACCGGTTGCGCACTGCCCTTCCCTACGTTGTCCATGAGGACCGCTCTATTAGGTGGAACCTGAGTTAGATTAGGGACTCCATCGCATGGGTAGAGGATAGAGGGCTGCCGTTAATGGTAGCTGCACTTGATCAGGCTAAAGCCTTTGATCGAGTGAATATATATTTTATATTCAGAGTGTTAGGTAGGTCAAGCTGGATTCCATTTTTGTTTCTTTTTTGTTAACAGAGCTGGCTCATCCGGTGATACACCCGCCTGGTTATTTCCTGCGGGTGTTCTTCTCGTACCAGGCGAGAAGCGTGATGGTGTGGGCTAACATGGGTCCTCGGGCGGAACAGCTGCCGTGGCACTTTGGCTATGCGGCCAAGTGGCTGCGCGCGCACCCCGAGGTTGAAATTGCCCGAGTAGGTTTAGACCACAGGCACCTGTACGAGGAGGTGAGACAGGGAGGGTGTCCGGTGCCCGTAGTGGGTATCCCGGCTGTGGTCTGGGAAGGAGTGCAGATGCGTGGTCTGGACAACAGGCTCAAGGACCTGAATTGGTTGAGCCTCCATAAGTGCTTGCCCGTGCATTCCATCATGTAAGGGCGTGGTATGGCACGATCCCCCACCTGCCCAAGACCAATGTGTGGCGGGGAGGGAGACAGTGCACCATGTTTTTGGGGCTGTGTTGCTATTCGGGCCCAGGGTGTATGGGTGTG